CCCATCCACCATAGCCAACCTTCACTTACCTTCTTTCACCTCCATCACCTACGCCCATCCACCATAGCCAACCTTCACTTAAGTTTTTCCACCTCCATCACCTACACCCATCCACCATAGCCAACCTTCACTTACCTTCTTCCGCCTCCGTCACCTACGCCCATCCACCATAGCCAACCTTCGTTGACCTTCTTCCACCTCCATCACCCGCGCCTATCCACCATAGCTAACCTTCACTTACCTTCTTCCACCTCCATCACCTACACCCATCCACCATATCCGACCTTCACTTACCATCTCCCTCCTCCGTCACCGATACCGATCCACCATATCCGACCTTCACTTAGACTGCGCTCAAACCATGAATGCAAGATGGGTTTGATGGTCGGATGCTTGGATGAGTGGTAGACACCTGGATGTGGCTTGTGTGATGAGTGAACGCAATAACTCTCTTCAATGCAATGCAAGCCCGGAAGGACTAAGGGCATTCTTGGATAGGTGAATGCAATGCTAGTGGCTCAAGCAAAAAAAATATAACGGCTAGGGGTTCGGGCGATGCCACCCCACCCCAAGGATGCCATAGGGGCTGTCTTGAGCCACTAGGCTTAGTGAAAAGGTGTGTGGCCCAATGGATGACGCTTGGCCTACACACGAAAGAAGACGAATTTCCAATGAACTCCCTGGACTGCCTGCGTATTGGAAGGAGCAATTGCCTGGTCAGACTTAATTGAATCAAGGAAACGCCACAAGTGACCAAAGAGCTACCATCTATCGCGAGGGCTGAGCTACATCCCCTAATGTAAAGCCCCTTCGCAAATGGCCCATCCCCATCCATCTCATAGCACTAGGTGGGGGTGCCCTTGGGACGAACGACCCGCGCCCTGAGCATGAGCGTGGGCGGGTCGAGCCAAATGGGACCCGCAGTAGGGTCGACCAAGGCTCGAAAGTCCTTCAGGGTACGGCCCCTACAAAAATGGTGGAGGTGCAGGGTATGGGTTAAACTGACCCATACGATCTCGAGGTGGGCGCCCGACACATGACTGTGTACATAACCGAAGATAAGGAATGAGGACTTGTGTATGCTCTGTTCTCTTGAGTGAATCAAATTTGAGGGTGGTTGGGCGCATGGCAAGGTCAGGCCTGGAGGAATAAAATGCATGCTTGCACCTTTGATCAACCATCTCATTGGAGGTGACTCTAGTCTTCTTTCTTTCAGGCTGATGTTCGTAGACCGGGGAAGCCTTGGGCAAGCCGCAGGTTGACCCTTCCTCTTTGTGTGAAAGAAGGGCTCCGGTTACCTGGCAGGCGGTTGGGATTCCGTGCCAGTGCGGGTTCCAATGAAAATCCCGCAGCGGAGCGATCCGACCGACACGGGTGCTTTCTCCTCTTCTTCGGAGCCTAGCGGGCTCCATGCACCACACTTAAAATGTTTAAAGGAACCTCATATGAACACAATGGGTAATCGAGAAGGAACAATCCCGCCCTATGAACGGATACACAAGTAAAGATAAAGGGAATGAAGGGAGTTGCTAGACTCCAAGAAAACTAGCTCACCTTTGAAGATGGTCACGAAAAGGAACCAGGCACTAAGGGTGAGTGGCACACACTGTCGTGAGAGAAATTTGTGAGCAATGGGTAGGAAGCGCTGGGTGCACCCCAGGAAAGGCACTTGTGATTTATGTGTCCGACTTGGGACTTGTGATTGCATGATGGGGATTTGAGCGTCCTGCCTTTCGGAAGGAAAGGAGGGGTCTGCACCGGCCACTGCGGGTTGCCAAACGTCGTTCTCTTTTTGCAGGCTGCCGTTTGTTCGTATGCGGGGGTCAGGCCACCGAACTGTCTAATGGGAGTTTGTCACGCCGGGTGCTTAGTAGCATCCTCGTCCGCGCGGTGACGGGCTTCGGCTCGATTGATCTGTGGGGCGGGGTGTGAAATGTTTCTTTAGGCGGGGCCTAGCCTGTGGACTAGCGGAGGGAGTACCGCTGCATGCGAGCAAAGACGGAGCCTCAGAGATGATTAGTAGCTTCTCGTAGTTTGGTTTGGGAAACGCTGTTCCTTGTCGGACCGATGGAAGTGAATGCCTGGACGACTGGCTCCAATGGCCCTACCGAGATGTGCGGGGTGATCCCCGAGATTAACGGTGGGTACACGAGCGGCAAGTCGGGATGGGGTATTCTGGTCAAGAAGGTGAGGGCGACCCCCCACTGAAGTCTGGGTACCGCGCTCGTGACGGTTGAGTTGTGCTTGAGGTACGGGATAAAACTCTGCCGATAGTAATAGTGGAGAGACCACTTTTGGGAAAAGGCCGGTGAGGAGATGACAGGTCGTGTGCGACGATTGCTTGAGTTTCTCTTTTTGTGCCTCGCTCTGTAAAGTTTGCCTGGTGGATGTTGGGATGGGGACGGAGCCTCTAAGTCTATTCTTGCCTACTATCTAAAAGTCCGCACAAGTGAGAGAACATGAGGATAAGGCTGGATAGGAGTTGGACGGAAAAGGAACCACGAGAAAGCAATGTCGGCTAAGGATGATCGATTGAGGTTATGACGGGGCAACAGCGTCAGGGAAAAGGGTAAGAAATGGCGGGGAGACCCGGGTGAGGGGTCCGAAAATAATTCTCATCTAGGAGGGAGACAATCTGACCATGAGGGGCCGTGTGGTGCTCTCATGTGGAAACAGGACGGGCGCTGGGAAAACGAGATGGCGCGATGGTTGTTGCCGCCGGTCTACTCTAGTGGTCCGGAAATGCCCATAGATGTAAGGGAAGGGGTATCTGTCGTCCTCCCGGAAGAAGGAACGTGGACGGACCTGGTGCCAACCTATGAAACGGTGATGCTGGATGAAAAGGACGCGTTCCTTTGGATAGAGACTATTTGGACTAAGGTCAGCCTGACGAGACTTTCACCAAGTCTGATGGACTTAGAATTTCGAGGGACGGTGGAACCCCGAGGGTGGGTCTACCTATCCCAGGATATGAAAAATGAAATGGTGATAAGATTGGTATCAGGGACGGCACCGGATCAGTTGTTTAGGCAAGCGGAACGGGAGGTGGTATGGGCGACATGTCAGCGGATGGAAATGGAAATTGAAAAGGAAGAGGTGCGAGTGGAACTCGGGGATAGAGGAAACATGAGACGGCCCCTTAGGACAATGAGATGTGTACTACCCCCGTTCCTGGTGGACGTAGTCTTCGGAACCAGGGACAGGCTGGAGCAAATATGTCGGTCGATGACACGCTTGAGGCTGTACCAGTGTGCTCGGCAGGATTTCTTTAGATTGTTAGTGGAGGCAGGGCCGTTTGAAGGGAACTGGGCGGAAGAGTTAGCTGAGGTATTAAACCTCCTCGGCGCGGATGAAGTCTTTGTTCCTAGCCCGGTGCATTGGCAAATAATCTATCGGAATGTGGCGGCGGGTGAAACCTTCTTAGAAGGACGAAAAGAGTTGTTCTCGGACGGGGAGGAAGATTTAAGTGATGATGTGGATGGGGACGAGATAGAGGACTGGGACTTCTGAAAAGGGGGGGGGATGGGGACTTAGGAATGGACGGTCGACTATGTGCAGGTAGAGAGCGATGGCCCGGGAGCGCGAGCTGTGGGACTGTACGCCCAAGGGATGGGAACCGAGACGGGTTGGAGGGGGAGTAGAAATGTCTATACCTGCAGACTACAAATGGAGAGGAACCACATGTGACTGGGTAGGGTCTGAAATTGTGCCCGACCTACCGTACCTATGGTAGAACGTGCATGGAACCCACTAAGGGAATAGGAAGGATGGGAGGAGATCGCGGAAGGAAGGGTGGAATCGGTCGGGACGGTCGTTTTGTCGGAACAAGGTTGGCACCTGTTTTGCACAACGCTCGCAGAGGGGCAGAACCCGATGTGGCTTTTAGGGGATGCTGAGGCAAGGGATCGACGGGCAGGCGAGAGATTTGCTAACAAAGGATGGGACGTGGTCAGTTGTAGAGTCGTGATGGGAGGATGGAAGGAATTTAGGTCCCCCTGCCAACGAATTAAGACCTGGGTACCCGAGTTTGTAGCAGATTGGTTTGGGGGTTTTGACCATGTTGAGGAAGTAGCCAGCACTATGGGGCGGGTGCACGTGAATTGCGCTTGGCTAATGGAAGAGTTCTATAAAACATCTCTGAAATATGGGCCGGTCCATGGCGATAGAGCCTGGGAGGTCCTCATCATTTTGGACATCGAAAGGAATGACCGGATGGAAGTGGCCCTGGAAACCAGGGAGGCTATAATTCGTCGCGAGGTAGCCGCCACACCCTGCTATGTGGATGATGTGTTTAAGCTGTTCGAGGTACTGTGGTTTGACTAAGAGCAGAAAAGGTTGTGAGGCCAGGCAAGTATGGGAGAATTGCTAAGACAAGGGAATGGAATGTCTGGCCATTGTAGGGTTCGATGCTAATTGTGGGCTAGAAGACCAAGGACGAGCACGCGATGGCCCGAAGGAGGACGTTTCTTGAAGATCGCCCCCTAGGCATTGAGCCACCTAAGGAAGTAGAGGGTGGGATAGAAGTTAGTCTGCCGACCGCGAGCGAAGGATGGCACCCGGTGGCGGATTGGGTCGGGGTTGAGCCTATGGAAAATATGGTTTACCTGGTAACGAGGGTCGAGTGGCGTGCGGATAAGCATGGGGAGTGGAACCCGGACCCGCGGGGGCATGTGCGTGCAGACGGACGATTGTATGTGTCCGAGGATGGGTGGTGCAAGTTCGGGGTCCTGTTGGCATCAGGGGAAGATCCATTGCGTATGTTCGAAGGGGCATGGCAATTAGTATGGGAGGCGGGATTTGAGTTCGCAGATCCGGGATTTGATGATGTAATAGCAGACCTCAGGGTAGCTAGGGCCGGAAGTTTTGAACTGCCTAGCGAAAACATTCGGATGAGGCTGCCACCCTTTCTGCTGGAAAGGCTAGGCGGACTGGAGCTTGTCAGATGGGCGACTGCCGACCTCGCTAGTTTGACATATGAAGACATGATGGTACACCGAGAATACTATCGGGCCTTTTTAGAAATGGGGTCGTTTATTGGAGAACAGAGGTATGAAGTGTTGCGGACCCTGCGCGCCGTGCTTACCACTAGACCAAGGGCTCCGATTGTTAGCAATGGGGTTCCATGGGGCGTTGTTCGACGGGAAATAAGTCTGGGGATGACGTACGTGGATGACCTACACCGATTGTATGAGCCGACGGAAACAGGAACAGACTGGTAAAAGGGCCAAGGAAAGAAGGGGAAGGGGATAGAGAGGAAAGGAAGTGTCAAACTGAGAACCAGGGAGTCGCTCGGGTAAGGGCCGAAGAATAAATGAAATAAGCAAACTCGCTTGCTGTTTAAACTGTGCAGGGGACCGCTAAATCGAAATGGCGATGAGACGCGCCCGGATGTCGCGACGGCCCACGTACCCCCGACCCCCCACTGAAAGCGGAGACGGATGGGAGGTATTGCTCCCGGCAAGCTACAGGGTCCGAGGGATCGATACCGAATGGAGAGCCGTAACCTTGTGAAGGGACCAGGCGTTCATGATGGTGGAATGTTTGTGGGATGGTATGAGGATTAATAGGGGACGCGGGGACGATGTATACACGGATCTTAGGGTGACGGGGACCGTATACCTACCGGAGCTTGGATGGCACATGCTAGGAACAGAGTTGGCACTTGGGCATGGGCTGTTACCAATCTTCCAGAGGGCTACTAGGGTATTGAACCGAGTAGGCCAGGAAGTGCGAGGAAGAAGGAACGTGGGATTGAGAAGGCCCCAATGACAGGGTTGAGATGCCGAGTGCCTCGCTTCATGGTAGACCTGGTATTCGGCAGTCTCCCAAGGGCAAAGGATCTGGTGGACTCGACCCTGGTCTGGATCCACCACTTCCGGCCGCAGACAACGGGCATGTTTTATGATGTGTCGGTTAGACATGGGCCGTTTTGGGGGATTCAGGCCTGGGAATTGCTTGAACTCATCGAAATCTTGATATTCGGATGAGGAATACGAGCCAATAATCATTAGGGAAATAGAGATGGGAGAAAATTACCTTGCTGGGGTGGCTGACTTGTTCGAGGAACCGGACGAACAGGGCAGATCTGAGGGACTAGCGTGAGAAGAGGCGCCAGGGAAAGATGGGAAAAATGAAGGATGGGTATTAAGATGAGAAGGTAGCCATCAGCAAGAGGGGGGGCACTGGTTGGAGTTCCGCCCTACCTAACGATGTGGCAGGAAGGAACTAGGAAGACCACCCGCACCAGGAACGCCGGGGCATTCGGGTGTCAGAAAGCCGAAAGGGCTATCCTCAAGGGGAAGGCCACTGGGCTCAGACACCGCCCTAAGAGCCGAGGCAGGGCGACGACAAAATGCCAGACCTTGGCAGCAAGTCCCCTGACGGAGGAAAATCTAAATGGTGTCCTGTGAAAGAAAAGTCAGGAATGTTGTCCCGACTTATGAAAGACGGAAAAAAGGCATGGAAACAACCGGGTTTTAGGGCTGGAACTAGGGAAGCCATGAACAGCCGGCCATTTTTCGCAAAAAAAAAAAATTCCATGTGCAGGCTAGGTAAAGAGATGGCGTCGCAAGAACAGGACGACAACCAGCAGAGCAGAGGGAGTCAGGGTAGGAATAGGGACGAGGAACAGAACGAGGGGTCGGATCAGGAATCAGCAAAGCCAGAAGGGACCAGAGAAGAAGGGAAGGGCCTCTCCACAGGGGAAAGTTCAGGAAAAGTTGGGGGTAGCAAAAGAGGACCGCAGGAGAATAGGGAAGGGAGGGACGACGAAAGGGCGAGTCCTCGGAACTCCGGAGGAACCACGCCCAAGAAAACGAAAGTCTCGGATGCACGCCGCAAATTGGCAGAAATAGAAAGACGGACCACAGAATACAAGGCGAGATGTGTTGAACAAATGATGGCTGGGAATGAAGAGGATCCCCAGGGGGAAGGGTCACGAGAGGGACGCAGGACTTGTCAGGGTGAAGCCAGGTACGGAGTAAAAGATAACAGCCAGAAGGGAACACCCAGCAAGAAGGAGAAGGAAAAGGGGGACTCCCCGACTATAGAAGCAGAAAAGGCCACAACCCCGTCGGCTATTGACAACGGCTCTAGTCGTCTGCCCACCACACCCAAAGCAACAAAGGGATGCGATGGACTCTGGAGTCTCAAAGAGAGGGTGTTAGGCTGGTTTGATCCGGAGGGAACACCGAAAACCGGGGAAAAGCACAAGGAAGGCAGGGAAGGAGAGGGGAATAGTGCAGTCGGTGAGGCGGGTAGCTCTGAAGGGGGACTTAAAAGGATAGTAGCCACCCTCACCCGGACTCTGAATAAGAATCAGGGGTATCTCGCAGACGCAAAGAAGAAACTCACTTTCGATGGGGCAAACATCACGAAATTCCTGATAGATTACGAGAACCTGGCAGCCTTACTGAAATGGACTGAGGAAGAAAAGATGGACCACCTAGGGCAGCACGTATCGTTGAGCTTACGAAGGGGCATTGTGGCTATCGTCTCCGCTAGTGGATCCTGGAAGGAAACCCGGAATGAGATGATGAGAAAATACCTGAAGGCGGAGAAAATGGCGGCAGAGGCTGAATTGGCGGCAGTCCAAAGGAAAACTATGCTACTTACAATGACTTTCTGAGGGCGTTCACTCTAGTGGCACTGCGACTCCCCGGGGTAACGGATTGTATAATGAGCAAGTACTTCCTTAGGCAGTTCTCGGAGTTCGACAAAGATAAGATTCTGTCGGCCTACCAGCAGACCAGTAAGTTTGAATACACAAGGGATGTGGATTTCAGTACGGTAACAGATCTTGCAGAGAAGACAATGGTAACTGAGACCCTGACCCTGCTTAAGGAAGGGGAGGTTATAGACCTGACCGGGAAGACGGGGGATAAGGTAAAGAAGGGGATAGAGAGCCTGCACGAACGAGTGCACGGGGTTGACATCAAGATGGAAAGAGTGGAAAATGCGATGTTAGTAATGCAGGCGCAAGTGTCCAGACCCGCCCTCCCGCCCCAAGAGGCCGTAGTTCCGGCAGCCGTAGCTAATCGGGGATTTGGCAAGAGGGATCCGGCCAACGAACAATGCAAGTACTGCACAGTGGTCGGACATTTCGTGAGCGCTTGCCCAAGACTCAATCACGATATTGAGCGGCAGAGGTGCAGCAGGTCCCTCAACGGTGAGATTCTCGGACCCCAGGGGGAGCGTGTAAATTGGAACTCACCAGGAGGGATGCGGCGAGCCGTCATCCTCCTGAATAACTTAGAGATAGCTATCGTAGAAGAAGAGCTGGTAGCCGAGATTGTCTGGGACCAACCAAGGGGCGCGGACCACAAACTAATTTTATCCTAGAAGGCAATGGGCAGGGTAGGGTAAATATCACCACTCGACGGGCCGACGCAAAAAAGAAGCTTATTCAAGATACAGTAATGGAAGAATTCGCAGGGACTAGCGCAGACCAGCAAGAGACCGAAGTCGGGGAACATATGGGAAAGCAAGGGAGGAGGAACCGGTAGACAAAGTTACGGCAACAAAGTAAAAGTTCAGGTATCAAATTCCAATCCTGACTTCGCCTGAAATCGATGGCACCCTGAGTAAGCTGCTAAGTGCCATGGTATCAGTGTCCTTTCAGACCATGCTACAAGCCAGTCCAAGACTGCATAAAGGACTCAGGCACTTGCTAACGCGTAAGCGCGTAGAGGTAGAGGAGGCCCCGGAACCACAAGAGCAGGAGACGGAAGAGGCAGAGGCACCCCAAGGCGTCTCCAGCCTCCAAAGAATTCCCGGGGATCTGGACGACTTGGAGAAAGCTTTTGCGGACATCCGCCTCAGCCTACCGGATCGTGAAGGTGGCTAAGTCATGAGGGCACCACCCGGGACAAAGCTTAGCTTCCATGCATTACCTGTAGGGAAACTTAAAGTCCAAATCGGAACACACCACACTGACGCGTTAGTGGACGGCGGTGCCGAAATCACCCTCATACTACGAGATTTCGCAACAGTCACGGGGTGCACAGTAAACAAGGCAGTAGCAGGGAGCATCCGGGGAGCCGGTGGCGAAATTCCTTTGACAGGGTATGTCACCAAATGTGCAGTCAAGGCGGGAATCTGGGAATCCATCTGGTCCTTTCAACGGATGACCGTGATGGAAGAAATGGATCATGACATAATCCTCTAGAGACCATGGTGCGCCAATGTAGAAATGATAGGAATGCATCTGCATGACGGCACATACATGGTAGACATAGAAGACCCAGTGACCGGCCGCGGAGAACTCCTCCGACTTCTTGGGACCGGAGGGGACCCTCCAAAGGGCAAATTGGCAACCTGGTCGCCAACATTCGAAGAAAGTGCGCAGAGGGGGGCATTCGCGCGGATGGAAGGTATGAGGGAAAGGGTAGAAATCATGATTGAGGAAGCCTTTAGCAAGAAGGAATGGATCAAGATGGGTCTACCTTTGAAGAAGAGGAGGCAAGAGGACGAGGCCCTGAAAGTTATGGTGGCAGAAAAAGAGTCAGAAGTCGAACTTGGGGCCAGTCTGCCCAAACCAAAGGAAGGCCGGAACGAAACGCCGGAGGTGGTGCTTGAAATCCCAGACTTGTTATAACTCGTTAAGGCCATCAGGTACCAGAAGGTGGGGGTGTAATCCGCAGCGCTTGCAAAATTTGCGGACGGGGTCCGAAAGGGCTACTGTCTGAACGAGAAACTAGTCAGCATCCAGCCCCGCGTCCTCGAGATAGCAAGGTCGATCCCGACCGTTCATTTTTTAGGAGAACGATCCCAGAAGGAATTGTGCGAAAATACGAACCCGTAGGCAAGAAGGCCAAGCCGGTCTCCATCCTAATAGAAACATCAAGGGAAGAGGCCATGGGGAAGGAAGAAGAAGTTTTGCGGATTATAAGGGAAAGGCGAGCAACGGAAGGGCATCGGATACCGGATGAGGTAGCAGAAACCATGAGAATAGGGGTGGATGGGTTCCTAACAGAGAACGAGACTCAGTTGATAAGGAGGGCGTGCCAGGAGTTTCATCTAGCCTTCGCTTTCAATGACCACCAGAAGGGTCAGTTGGATGCAAAACTAATTTCCCCCGTTAGGATCCATACGGTTGAGCATGAGTGTTGGAACGACAAAGGGCCTGCCTATGAGTTTGGAATAGCGGCGGAAGTCACTGAATTACTTAGGGCTAAGATAGATTCGTTCGTAGCCGAACCCACCGCATCCCCCTATGTGAACAAGTGGTTCGATTTTCGGAAGCCGAACAAGACACTCAGATGGACCGCATCCCCCTATGTGAACAAGTGGTTCGATTTCCGGAAGCCGAACAAGACACTCAGATGGATTCAGAACTTGCAGAAGTTGAACGCAGTAACAATCCGGGATGCGGGATGCTCCCACAGGCCGATCTATTGGCAGAATCCCACGTTGGGCGAAGTATTTACTCCCTGATAGATCTGTACTCAGGATATGACCAACTGCCGCTCGATGCGAGGGATAGGCCTTACACTGCCATGCACACACCAGTAGGGCAGTTGCAGATGTTCCCGGAGAAGTGTGAGCCGTATATAGACGATAATCCCATAAAGGGCGCACAAAACAAGGATGAGACAGAGGTAGAGTTGGGCGTACGAAAGTTTGTCTGGGATCACCTGCAGGATATCAAGGATCTACTTCAGCAGTTTTTGGTTTATAATATTACCGCAAGTGGACCAAAGAGCATCCTGGGCGTCCCGGAAGTGACCATACTGGGGTTTCGCTGTGGGGCCTATGGAAGGAAGCCCGACCCTACAAAGGTAGATAAGATTTCTCAATGGTCGACGCCCCTGCGCACCACAACGGAAGTACGAGCCTTCCTAGGGGTAGTCGGGTTCTGGAGGATTTTTATCAAAGGATTCGCAAAGATAGTTGAGCCCATCCGCGCGATGATTAGGGAAGGTGGCACTATGGAGTGGACCGAGGACAGGGAAGCGGCAGCCCAGACCCTGAAAGATATCCTGTCTTCCGATCAGGTTACCGAAGCAGCACCCTGCTTCAATGATGAAGTAGGACGACCCTTTATCTTGGAAACAGACGGAGGACCCTTGGCAGTTGGTGGTGTATTGATACAGAAAAGCAAGGAGGGCATAGAAAGACCGATCAGGTTTGAAAGTAGGACCTTGAATTCGACAGAACGACGGTACTCACAGTTCAAGAAAGAGGTCTTAGCGATCCTGCATTGGCTTAAGACCTTCCAGGCATACCTGTTTGGGAGGCGATTTATCCTGAGGATCGATCTGACCAACGTTGCCGGGGCAGTAAAGCACTACAAACCTATAGACCCAACCGTCGGGAGGTGGATAGGCTTCATATGGCAATTCGACTACAAGGTCGAGCGAATTGCGGGGCTTCGGAACAGGGCGGATGGGTTGAGTAGGGTGTGTATCACGCCGGAAGGTATAGAGGACGCGGAGCCAATCGACGCCTTCCTAGAATACGAAGGAGGGACCTTGGTCGTGGATAACGAGATGGCAGGCACCGCTCCTACAATGGATCAACTGCTGATTCAGACTCTAGGAAAGGGCGCGCCCGCCATAGTTGCGGAACTCGGGGAGGGACCGGTCACCATGTTTAGACGCAGGGATGAGAAGGATTTGTGGGGAGCAATAATGGGGCCGGAAGAAGAACTGATGGCAATGGCCGTTGAAGGGGGACGGGACGCTGTGATGACTCTAGTGGAGACCTGGGCCCAGAGGGAGAGGCAGTACCAAGTGAATCAGGCTCAGGTGGAACAGGGTACCGACTAGGAGGAACGAAAAATTTTCCTCGTACAGATGCATGAGGGCATCTTTAGGGAAATTGGCCTGCTGCTCATAGGAAACAAGCAACCCTTAGAAGTCAGCCCCAAGGCAAGGGAGGAAGCCGAAAAGTATGTTCTAAGGAACAGCCACCTGTTCAAGAAGGAAGAGGGGATGATGCCTAGACGAGTCGTGTGCGGAAGGTCTAGGCAGTTAGACATAATCCAGGCAATGCACGATGGACTAGCTGGAGGGCATAGGTCATCCAAAGGGACCCTTGCGAAAATCGCACCACTCTACTTCTGGCCAGGTATGGCAGGTATGGTGGCAGCATACTGCCAGACATGCCTGATATGCCAGGAAAGGAGTTCCGCACGTGTCTTCGAGCCCCTTAGACCTACCCGGGTACTAGGGTCGGGGCACCTAGTCCACCTCGACCTTGCGGTTATGCCAGTGTCAACGGATGGATACAGGTACATCCTGGATGCAAGGGATCACCTCAGTGGCTACGTAGAGGCGGTAGCACTCAAGAGAAAGACAGGGAAGGGAGTGGCCGATTGGATAGAGGATTTCTACCTAAGACACCCCTTTGTGCGCAGGTTCACAGCAGACAATGGGACGGAGTTCGTCAATCAGGAGGTATCGAGCAGGCTTAAGACCTTGTGCGTACCCATCAAGATCATTGAGCCATATCATCCGGAGGCAAATGCACCAGTAGAAAGGGGGCCTCAGAGTTTGAAGAACACAATCGCCAAGCTGGCAATGGATGATTTGGGAAAGTGGCCACGGTTCTCAGAGAACATGACACCAAAAAGGACGACAGGGTGCATTCCGGCAGAACTTTGGTATGGGAGGGAGATTGATTTTCCGGTGGAAGCCTTAGTCCCCACCTGGAATAGGCTAGATGACAGTCCACGCCTGTCTACTAAAGAATTAACTGTCGCACGATGCCAGCAGGTCGTTAGAAATGAGGAAGCTTTGGAAGAATTGGTCAAGCGCGTGATGGATAGCCGAATGAGGGACAAAGCAAGATGAGACCAGGTGAAGAATATCCAAAAAGAACCACTCCAAGTAGGGGAAAATGTGCTAGTTAGGAACTCGGCCCTTGAGAGCACGTGGTCTGGGCAGCTGGGGAAGAGGTTCAAAGGGCCCTACAGGATCGCTAAGCGGGTGGGATTGAACACATTCGAACTTGAGGATCTTGATGGTAGAAGAGGGCCATTTCTGGGACAAAGGCTGGTCAGGTTTTTTAGCAGGGATCCTGTGGAACAATGGTTACAAGAAGCCCAGGACAGGGAAACAGGGGAGTCAACAGCTTGAAAGGCAGGTAGCTGGCTATAGTTCTGGACCGCCTCCCTGTGGAAGTGATCATGACCACAGGGATTGTTCGTTTGTGTGTCTTAATCTTTGTGGAACGTGGGGAGACTGCCTGGGCTGACTATGACTGGGCTTGGGAGCACGGGACAGTGTATTATAGTTTTTGTGGGGCAACTCTGGGGACTGTCTACACGAGGTATCTATGTGCCGGGATAATGCACCATAGTTTTTGTGGGGTGATGCTGTGGACTGCGTACATGAGGCACCTATGTGTTGGGACAATGTGCTAAGGGATCTAAAGGGATGATGGGATCGCCAACTACACGGGGGCAAGCAAGGGTTCCGGGAAGGCCTGCAAATCTGCAAATGAGGGTGGGAGGGAATGTGTGCGTATGGCAGGATGCGATGACTGTTATGGATGGACAGGACCAGGGAACAAGAAGAACAACAAGAAAAGACAAAATGAAGTTTGGAAATGAGAACGACGGCAACGCAATCATCCGCCCTAATGAACAGCAGTCGACAAGACAGGCCAGGGAATCAAGCTCCATGAAGAGGAAGATGTATGTGGGGTTTGATCACAATCTGGTTATAAACAGAGGTGGGAGAAAGCAAGGGACCCGGGGACCGTCACCTCCCAGAGAAGGGGAGCCAATAGTACTGCCATCTGATAATGATACTAGTAGTGAGGAAGAGGTGAACCCGGGGAAAAGATAGAGGTTGGGGCAGGAGGAGCCCATTGAGGTCGTAGACCTCGGCAGCGAGGAGGACAAAGATGAAGTAACAACACCCACAAGGGAAGTACGGGGAAGAGAGGAGGAACCGGGGGAAGATAAGGACAAATGGATAACAGAGTTCGGGCCGACCTTCAGCGACTGGTTCGATCAATGGGCCAGTATCTTGCAATATCAATGGGCAATGGAAGGAAAGAAAAGCTTAGCAGGGGAGAGGACATATCCCCAACAACCTTCTTCTCAGAGGAGACGCTCCTTCAATTTCAGAGAATAAAGAGACATATGCAGCAAGAGATTGAGGATCGTGCAAGGGAGGCTCGACGCAGGGCAACTGGATAGTAAAGGGATAGTAAGCATAATGGGGGTTAACTAGAAATTGGGGGGGGGACTGGTACCTGGGCAGGTAGAACTGCCATTCTGAATTTTGCATTTGAACTTCCGAAAAATGGGCTACGACGGAACAACTTTTTGATTAAGATTGACCAAAGACTGGGTAACTAGTGCTACCTTCCAATAGTAGTGGCTTCTTCAGAAGGACATGTGGGTTGATGAGTTTGAGACTCGGACTATGAAGGACTGGGCTCTAGATGAGACAAGTCTGTAATGTTATCTTTTGCATTCGAACTTTGTCTCCTGCCATAAGTACCCGCTTTAAGAGGAGCATTTTTCGTAGTAAGAAAGGGACTGGGGATGATTGCCTCTGAGAGATAGACGAGGGTATGGGAACTGTTGAAGATTGGAAGAAAAGTCGATGGCAGAAATTTTCCTTTTTGAAAAGTGTGTATCCATGGTTGAATGAGGCGTGGCATGAGTCCTTGTGAGAGGTTAGGGACCTATGGGTAAAGAGGCATGAAGAACCCTCTTCCCTAGGAGCCTAATCCAACCGGTCTCACATCAGTCCAGAACAGCAAGATGCATGAGAGCTCAGAAAAAGAGAAAATAATGAGGACACACACCCCTTGCAATGGTTGAACGGTCGAGCGGGCTAGTGCTGCTTGAGGTTGCGACCCTCAACTCAAGTACTAGACGCTAAGTCGGATGTATGAATGGACATAAGGATGACAAATGGTATGAGGAAGAGTAAGAAGCATGCGTAAAAACCCAAGAAGATGGCCGCCTTCTGACCCCCGAGACGAGATAGGATCCGTGTCCTCGAGGCCCACCCCCTCGGGCGCTAACATTGCAATGGACAAGGATGGCCCTAACCAGGCTGTCCAATTGGAATGGATAAGGATGGCCCTAACCAGGCGGTCCGATTGGAATGGATAAGAATGGCCCCAACCAGGCTGTTCGACGTGGAATTGGAAAAAAACGACCCTAACCAGGTTGTTCGGAATGGCCCCTGACAAGGGTCATTCTTTGGAATTGGCGCTGGGGTCCCCTTGCATGGCTGCTTGAGATGCATGATATTGGAAGAGCTGAGCTTTGAAAAAGATATTGATGAGATATTGAGCTGAGTTTGAGAGAGACATTGAAGTTGAGCCTTGGATAAGATTGGAAAGAGTTGGGAATGGAAAAGATATTGGACTCAGCTTGGAAAAGATATTGGACTCAGCTTGGAAAAGATATTGGACTCAGCTTGGAAAAGATATTGGACTCAGCCTTGGAAAGGATATTGGACTCAGCCTTGGAAGAGATATTGCATTGAGCATGGGACTGAGATTGAGCATGGGAATGAGACTGAGCATTGGAATTGGATTGAGTATTGAAAATTGCACTGCATAAACAGGGGACCCCAGGCAACTTTAAATGGACTTGGAAAGAGCATTGAAATGGAATTTCTCTTTTCTCCTATTCTTTGGCCTCAGTAAGAGGGGGAGGGGGATACCGGTGCATGCACCGCGACCCCAAGACCTCTATCCCTTTGAGGGAAAATGTCTCAGCGCGACCTGTTCCTCTTCGAGAGGATGAGGGTTAAAGGACTAAGGCACCTACCACTTGGATCGGTGCGGGACGTCCGGAACCACCTCCGACAATGAGCTCTAGTCGGGGAGTTCAAATTGCGCCTCCTGTTGAACGCCTAAACGTCAAAGGGCGAGAGAGCCAAATGGGCGAGAGAGCCATTCTCATCTAGTCTGTTTTGCCATTCTCCAACCACACGCCATGTCATAGAGGGGTGCCATGGCCGTTTGGGTCGGACCACGGCTGCCCGCGCTAAGTTGGGTGGCACTGTCCAAGCGTTTGGGTCGAATCACGGCTGCCCGCACTAAGTTGGGTGGCACTGTCCAAGGGAAGAGGCTGGCGAGGTACCGGGTGGAGTCCGCCACCACCACGGGGCATTGACACAGCCCTGCCGGAACATTACAACCGTTTCGGGACTAATTGCGAGGTCTTCGTAACTGCACTCGCGAACTAATTGAGAGCCCCAACTCTCTTGAAAGGAAGAGGCCGGATCCAGAAAACTACGCGAGGAACGTTTTTGCGGCTAGACGAGGCCTTGGAAGGTTGGGATTGGACCTGCCTGCCAAACGTGAGGAGGAACCTCAGTATTGGTGCTCGCCACCTGAGAGAAGAAAGGTCGGACCGAGTAGGAGGATGAGCCGTCGTTCACTGGGGAGGAACTGATCACTCTTCCTTTTGTGAAGCGGATGGGCTTGTGTCCTTGACTGCGGTTGGTGGGCCAATGGTCTGCGTACCTCCGAGTGAGAACCAGTCGCGGGATGGGGACATCGCATTTTGAGTGGGGGGAAGGTGTGTCATCCACCAGTGAAAATGCATGCAAAAGACTTGTGTAATTGGCTTTGCATGGGCCTGAGAAAAGGGGGCCTGGCAAGATGCCCAGAACAGAAAAGACTTGTGTAATTGACTTTGCGTGGGCCTGAGAAAAGGGGGCCTGGCAAGATGCCCAAAACAGAAAAGACT